AAGTGGGATTGCTGGCTCATAGGGGAGCTCTATGTGGAGTCTTTTGAGGAACCTCCATACTGCTTTCCAAAGTGGTTGAATAAGTTTACACTCCCACCAACAATGCAGTAAGGTACAATGGGACATTTTTGAATCAAGAAAGTGAATTCAGAACTTCAGAGAAAGTAACTCATGGGTCGTGTTCACATATTCAGAACTTTAACCCAATGTCTTCTCCCTGGATATGCTGGAGCATATCCCATAGGAATGTAATATAACCAAAGAACACCCAGACTTCTAGCTGGAAGCCACTTTGAAAATGCTGTTATAGGGCTGGGAAGTTGGCTCAGTGGTAGAGTGCTTGCCTTGCATGCATGAGGCCCTAGGTTCGATTCCTTAGCACCACATAAGCAAAAAGAAAAAAGCTGGGAGTGGTGCTGTGGCTCAAGTAGTAGAGCGCTAGCCTTGAGCTGAAGAGCCGAGAGACAGCGCCTAGGCCCAGAGTTCAGGCCCCATGACCGGACCCCCCCCCCAAAGAAAAAAAAGAAAATGCTATTATAGAAAACTGGAACTTCTTTTTAAAAAAACAACGTTTTAAATTGTTGTAAAGGTGATGTACAGAGGGGTTACAGTTACATAAGTCAGGTAAAGAGAACATTTCTTTTTGGACAATGTCATGCCTACTCTCACTCATTCCCAGTTTTCCCTCCCATCTCCATCCACGAGTTGTATGGTTCAAAACTGACACTTCTTAGTACAGAAATTGTTAGTAATTTAACTCTACTGCTTTGCAGCTGGGTGTGGTGGCATATGCAGAGTCAGGATCTGATTTTAAGGTCAGTCCTGGGTAAAGGTAGTAAGAGTTTGTCACAAAAAGAATATACAAACAATACAAAATGGCTTGCGGGTATGATTCAAGTGGTCAAATAGTTGCCTAATATGCACATGGCCCTGGAGTCAATTCCAGCGGTACATACAACCACACCTGCTGCTTTGCTATTTCTTGTAGTATGCTATACCTTTCAAGTTAATAATGGGCTCTGTGGGAGCTACAGAGCCTGGAGTATTAGAAGATAATGGCCACACATACAAACAACTAGGAATATACCCTTGCTTGTAGGTTGAGGAGCAGAGTATGTTAAGTTTTCCCAATACCCTCCGATTTCAAATTTCATTTAATGTGACTGAGTAATCCTGGGCAGAGTTTACTAAGTTTAAATTTAGGGTTTAGTTGCCTGAAGAATTTTTCTCTCCATCAGAAGCACAACTGAGCAGGGGCTGGTGGTATAGCTCCATGGTAGCGTGCTTGCCCAGCGCAAGTGAGGATCCATCCTTGATCTCTAGCATAGAAGTAATTTGCAAAATGTTTTCCAATGTATGTAACAATGCCAGTGACCTCTGTTTGCTCCATTGTGGTGTGTTTGGATCAAATTCTTTTAATGGAATGGGAAAACAGTACAGTAATAGGATCTGAGGTTGTGATATTACAAATCAGTGATTTGCAGAGTCCACTCCCAGAGCTACAGAACTGAAACTACTTGAAATCTGGAAAATACAAACTACTGAACATTTGCAAATTCTTCTGAATCCAAAACTCTGAGTATGACCTAGGAATACAGATTTTAACAAGACCTCCACATGATTCAGAGGCATGGTGGGATCTGAGAAGCATTGTATAAATAATGGTAGACTGAACATCTTCTGCATCTTTGCTCCTTGAGTCTGTGTAATTCTTTTTTCTGATTTTTTAAAAAAAATATTATTAAGTTTTTTATTGTGAAAATACCATACAGAGGGGTTACAATTACATGAGCAAGGTAATGAGTACATTTCTTATCAAGCATTGTTGCCTCCTCCTTTTTTCCCCTTACCATCCCTGCCCTCCCATCTCCCCCCACCCTCCTCCCGCCCGCTAAAGTTGTAAAGTTCGTTTTTCAACATAACATCTTGTACATCTCATTGTTGCAATGGGTCCACCTGTATCCCCATTTAAACAATTTGTTTTTTCCCTTCCACTCCTCAAATTATATCAACATCAAATACGATGAAAATGGGTTATACCGTGGGGGAGGGACATACAAAGCGACCAAGAAATCATCTTATAAATATGTTAGAAACAATAGCAAGAAAGAAAAACCATTTGAGTTCTTATCTAACATCAACTTCTCTGACCATTTCTGCTTGTCTGGAACCAACCTAGATGCCCCTCAGTAGATGAATGGATCAGGAAAATGTGGTATATATACACAATGAAATTCTGTGCCTCCATCAGAAAGAATGACATTGCCCACTTGTTAGGAAATGGAAAGACTTGGAAAAAATTATATTAAGTGAAGTAAACCAGGCCCAAAGAAACATAGGTCCCGTGGTTCCCCTTATTTGTAATAACTAGTTTATGTCTGAGAATCTGTGTACTTCTACAGGAGGAATTCCTTGCAGGGGAATTAGCTGGTGCAGTAGTTTTAACAAGTCATTTTATAACCTGCCTGCAAATGTTTTGATGCTGATCTTATTGACACCTGGGATCTAACTCCTCCGTCCTGGAATCTGGACTGAAGTAATGCCGACATCACCTTGGACTTGCTCACAAAGGGCCAGCTTCTCCTCTGAATTGTGCCTATTGTTTGACTTCTGCCATGTTTAGCAATCAGCCTTATATGTGTTTCAGATATATTTTCCTCATTATTTAGTATGCTTTTTAAGAGAAATATGGTATATGTTTAATTCTTTGTAACTTTTGAGCTTACAAAAAAAACGTTTGCTGTGTGACAGTGCCTATCATCTGAGCTACTCAGAAGGCTGAGATCTGAGGATTGAGGTTGGAAGCCAGGCTGGGCAGTTAAATCTGAGGAACTCTTATCTCCAACTAACTAACAAAAAGCCAGAAGTGGAGGAGTGACTCAAGTGGTAAAGCCGCAGCCTTGAGCAAAAAATGTTGAATGAGAATGCAAGGCCTTAAGGCCTTTGCACGTGAAAAAACAAAAACTTAGCTTTCTGTGGCTGTGACAAAATAGCTGAGAAAAGCCAATGTATTACCATTTGGACCCTGTGGCAGGGCTGAATGTCTTGGCAGCTAGAGATGGAGAGACAGGAGCCAAGCCCCAGTATCTACTTTCAGGACCACACCCCCAATTATGTCACTCCTTCCACTAGCCCCACCTCCAAAAGGTTCCAAGCACTCTGGGCTGATGTGAGCCTTTGGGGAATATTTATTATGCAAATTATAACAAAATTTATTTATTGAATTACTAAGTGTTTTCCTAAGTGGTTTTGGGATTTCTTATACATTTAAGAAGCTGACACTCTCCAAGATTATCTTCACTAGAAACAATTGGATCTTATTTGGCCTACAGATAAGAGGTAACCTGGCCAAGAGTTCCTCAAAGCTTTTTACACAGTGAAGTCCAGACAGACTCACTAACGCCCTAGAGACCCTTGATCATCTAGCCTTTGCATTCTTCTAGCTTTCACCCCAGTACTCCTACCTCCTGAGTGTAGAATGGTACTGTGGGATTAGATTCCTTTCAGGAAGAAGGAAGGAAAAAGGAGCCTGGGATTGCTGTTTCAGAAAACCAGAGCTTCACCTGCAGACCCTATGTTTTGCTGGCCACAAGTGTAGCCATGGTAACCAGGGAGCAATAGGGAAGGAACATTTTTAACTTGGCACACTGCCCTTGTGCATAAAGTTGGAAGCGGATCAGAAGTGGGTCCCCCAGAAGGTCCTTAACTGACAGATCGGTCATAGGTTGAAAACATATTTCCTACACCTGCTAGACCTACTGCT